TTGCAACGCTGTGCTGTGTTAGTTGGCAGGGGACCTCCACTCTGTATCTCTCCTCGTTCTCTGTTTTCCTTCAGTTTCTTCTTCCGTTCGGTGTTTGATCTAGTTCTTTATTCCCTCATTAGATGCTTAGGGTTCCAGGATTGATATTTGTATCTGTTTTACTTAGTTTTTCGGGTCTCTGCTGCAAAGGGACGGCCTAGTGCGTCTGTCTATGGCACCATGTTTGCTCCACCTCCTCTATAAACAATTTTTAATGATAGTGAAATATTTCCTCATAAGGGCTAGTCTACATTTTAATTAACTAGTTCTCTATTGTTTCCAGGTTTTCTTAATTGTAAATAATGCTGAGACAAGCATCTTAAAATATTTTTTTTTTATTATGGAAAATTTCAAACACACGGAAATAGAGATAATAGTTCAATGACCCCATGTACCCATAACCCAGGTTCAGTCATTATCAACACAGCAAATTTCTTAATATCATCAAATATTTAGTCAGGGTAAAAATTTCTCCAATTGTATCATATATTTTTTTTTAACAAAATAAATTCCATACATTACAGTTGATTGATATGTCACTTATATATTTTTTTAACTAATAGTATTCTCCTAAGGAGCCCTGGTGGCACAATACTTCAGCACTTAGCTGCTAACTGAAAGACTGGCAATTCAAACCCACCTAGTGGTTCTGTGAGAGAAGGACCTAGCAATCTGCTACCATGAATATTAAAGCCAAGAAAACCCTGTGGACGTGGTTCTACTCTGTTACATGGGGTCACTATGAATTGAAATCAACTTGATGGTACCTAACAACAACAGTCTCTCGCTCTCTCTCTGTCTTTCCTTTGCAGTTTATTTGAAGAAAATAGTTGTTTGTCCTGTGGATGTTTCCCACAGCCTTGATTTTGCTAATTGCATCCCCATGGAGTCATTTAACATGATCTTCTGGCCTCTCTATTTCTTATAAACTGGTAATTACCTGAGAGGTTTGATCAGGTTCAGATTAGTGTTTCATTTTGGTAAGATGGCCATATTGTCAGGAAATCCCTCCTATTGATCACTTCACTTCTTGTTAGGTTGCAGCCTTGGTGAGCATCGCCACTGCCCTTATATTAATATGTCTCCAATGGACTCCTCAAGAAGGGCTCATGGAAGCAGTGCCTCAAGTCCTTGCACCTTCACAAAGTGTGTCTGCAGCCTTTATCACTAGATGTCCATGTGATTGGTCATCAAATACTGGTCTCCCATTTTTTTCCCTGTATACCTTAAATATGTTACTTTATGTCTTCTATTTTAAACTGCTGGCGTTGCTTCCATCATAAGTATCTTTGTTACTTGCCTGAATGCCCAAAGGATATTTTTTTTTTTCCTTTTTCTTTAAAATCCAATAGTTTCACTAGCATTGGTTCAGTATGGCTTTTCTGGGTCTGTTTTCTCAGGTGTGGTGCACCCTCTCAATATGAAGTTTCCAGTGCTGGTACAACCTGGCCCCTAGGAGCTCACAAAACTGCAGGCCAAAGCTTCTTTTCAGGACGAAGGCTTAATATGGTTTTGTCCTGCCACTGATGGCAGGAGAATCCAAATTGAGCACAACAAGGAAAATAGGTACAAACGAAAGAGATGGCCCAGATAAAAGTGTGAGAGGGGAGCAAGAGAGGCAGAGCTGAGAGGCAGTGAGGCCCTATTTTTTTTTTATCACATTGAAAACAACAGAAGCGGGAGAGTTAGAGCCACGCAGTTAGAAAAGCTGTCCTGACCCACCTTCCTTCCTAAATATATAGGAAAACTTATCTCACTTAGACACAAGGAGAGAAAAGGACTGTTGTCAAATGCCATATAGACTCCTTATAAAAAAAAGGGGATAAAGTCCCTACAGACAATGAAGAAATGCCAGAAACATATGCTGATAAAACAGATGACAACTGTAAACTAGTATTTCAAAGCAAGCCAAAAAAATAAAAAAGATAAAAATTATGAAAGAACAGTATTGTAGTTATCTAGTGCTGCTATAACAGAAATACCACAAGTGGATGGCTTTAACAAGAGAAATTTATTCTCTCACAGTCTAGGAGGCTAGAAATCTGAATTCAGGGTGCCAGCTCCAGGGGAAGGCTTTCTTTCTCTGTTGGCTGTGAGGAAAGGTCCTTGTCATACATCTTCCCGTCTCTAGGAGCTTCTCAGTGCAGGGACCCTGGGTCCAAAGGACACGCTGTGCTCCCAGCGCTGCTTTCTTGGTGGTATGAGGTCCCCTTATCTCTCTGCAAGCTTCTCTCTTTTATATTTCAAGAGATTGACTCAAGACACAACTAATCTTGTAGATTGAGTCCTGCCTCATTAACATAACTGCCACTAATCCCACCTCATTAACATCATAGAGGTTAGGATTTACAACACCTAGGAAAATCACATCAGATGACAAAATGGTGGACAGTCACACAATACTGGGAATCATGGCCTAGCCAAGTTGACACGTTATTTTGGGGGACACAGTTGAATCCATAACAAACAGCATAAATAAAAATTAGAAAAACCCAGAAATGGAGAAATGGAAAGTTTGAAATGAGGTGACAGTAAACAGGAAAGAATTAGAAATAAAGAAAAACAATCAGATCTTTCCTGTAAAACACTGAGACGGGTTTCCCAGAAATAGTAAGCTCTCAGTAAATGGTAGATAAACACAAAATTGCCCTTCATGCTTTTGGCCTGCAGCCTTTCCTGAGACCTCTGCCTGTGCCTGCATCACAGCTCTGAATTTGCTGTGACTTCACTAAGTACCCCCGCTGGTACAGGTGTGAATGAGATGACCTCAGCACTTCAGTAGGGACACAGCCCGAGAGCCAGGACTGGGCTTGAGGGGGAGTGTAGGGGAGCATATAGAAATATTTTGTAACATCCGACCAGAAAATCCAGATTTGGGGCAGTGCTAGACAGAATGACAAGTGGGAGAGTGTCTTAGTTTCCTAATGCCACTGTAACAAAAGTACCACAAGTGGTTAGCTTTAAAGGACAGAAATTTATTTTCTCACAGTTCTGGAGGCTACAAGTCTGGGGCCTTGACTATGTTGACTCCTTCCTAATAGTAGTCCTGGGCATTCCTTGGTTCCTGGGCTTGTGGATGATCCTCACATGGCATCTATCTTCCCCTCTGTGTGTGTGTCTATGTGTCTATGCTGCTCTTTTATAACTCAGAAGTGATTAGAGTTAGAACCCACCCTACTTGGGTGCAACCTAATTAACATAACCAAGAAACCCCTATTTTGAAACAAGATCACATCCACAGCTATAGGGGTTAGGTTTCCAATACGTATTTTTTTGGGACACAATTCAATCCATAACAGAGGGTATCCGTCCTCTGAGTCCCTCCTAACTGCTTATCCAGATGCAAAAGGAAGAAAGTCTCTATAGAGCCTGTATAGAAATGATCATCCAGAGAGGGAGACAGAGCACACGTCCCAGGGCACCTGTGCATTTCTCTGTCAGGCTGATGACTCCCCCACCCCCAACTCTCATGGTCCTGGTATGGGCAAGGCCCAGGCCTTCCCCTCGAGATTGGCAGGGGAGAGATGATGGCGCTGGGCCCACTGGGGCCACGCTGAAAGATGTTAGTGTTCACTGTCTTTGGTTCTCTGCCCACAACTTCATGGCCTAGTGGTCTGCCCACTGTCAGACTATACTTGTTAGAAACGTGGGCTGGACTCTGGTAGAAATTGGAATTCCAAGCTCTGTGGCATTGTGTACAGTGTTTTTCCAGACACATTCCTGGAAACTGGTCATCTGAGAACATGCTGTATGGGGGAGGGAGAGTGAAATAAGGCTGAGGTCGATGAGAAATTGACGTGGCTCCTTCCCAAGGGCTATGTAGCATTTGGATGTCTGGGTCCTTTCGGGATTAATAGGAACCACATAATAGCCTACATAGCATCCCAGTTATGAGGAGGCCCTAGGGAAGCTGAAGTCCCTTCCAGTCCACTCCAAAGAAGACTGTCATTCTCCTTAGGAGCAAAGCACCTTTTTCTTCCTCTTGAGAGACAGCAAGAAAGAGTGAGTGTCCTTATGCCAACAAGAAGACGTTTTCAGTTTTCTTTCCCAAGATAGTATGAACTGACACCGTTTATCTCTCTGGTAGAAATGGCCAACGCTCTGTGCACTAAAATTGTGCTTAGGGAATTCTCAACAAAAGGGATGTCTTGACACTTTTTTAAAAAATCATGTTTTTTCTAGTTGGAAAATGTATAAATGTTCACTGGAATAATAGAAGAATATTTTTAAAAAGTATAAATAAGCAAAGGAAAATCATCTGGAACTCTACCACTCAGAGAAAAATCTATTAGACTTTTAAATTTCTATCTCTCTGTATAGCTTTTCCACAGGACTGCTGGCTATACAAGCACTGAGCATTTCCCTTTTCCAAATCAATAAAAACTACCACCTCATTGCACAGGAAATGTCAAGAACAGTAGGGCTTCTGGGTGGGAACCTGGAGAGAGTTTTCATTTTTCCCGTCTCTGGACATTCCAATGGGCCATACGTCCTTCTTACAACTCCCCTGGATTGTATTCCTCTCCAAAAGGTGCTCCACCTGGGTCCTGGCTGATGGAGGCAGAGTTGGCGGGAAGGAGGGCCTGATTCACAGGCAAAGTGGGTGGATGCTCAAAGGTAGCTGCCTCTGCTCACCTTTGCAAATTAGAACATGGTCCCTCTAGGTGGATCATGGCTGGATGGTAGGCGAGCTCCTGCCCGCAGAGCTCCAGGTGGGCACAGTGGTGCCAGGGTACTTGGCCTGCTGAGTGGAGGGAGGGCTGCATTTCAGCCCCATTGCCCCCCACCCCCACACACACACGCGAGGCTGGGCTGCTGGCAGTACCAGCAGGCAGAGGCTTTTGCTGGTGGAGAAAGTCGAAAGCAGGAGTAGCCCTACAGTGTAAAGAAAGCTAACCCATCATTGTTTTTTTAGAACTATAACTCACATACTTGAATTTGAAAATTATTTCTTTTCCTAGATATCAGTGAATGCTCCAGCCAGCCTTGTCAAAATGGTGGGACGTGTGTAGAAGGAGTCGACCAATACAGATGCATTTGTCCACCAGGAAGGACTGGAAGCCGCTGTCAGCATCAGGCCCGGACTGGTATGTAGCCAGTGGGGGCTAGGTAGGGCATCACGCTGCAGAGAGAGGAGACCCTAGTCCTGGATCACCACAACGCAGACAAGTGGAGCGCTCACTTCCTCACTCTGGGCCTTGAGGTGGTTATCTGGAACAGAGCTTGGCTCTTTTGATTCACCAGGGTTTTGATCCGTCTTATAGAAGAAAACACGAGTGGAAGGATGGCTCACTCCTGAGACCTCCTCGGGTTGGGAATTCGCCTGACAAGTTTCATTGCTGCCACCTGATCAACATTTCCTCTGCCAGCAAAACAGCTTCTCCTTTCAAATATTTCCATCACATTCTGAAAAATTAGTAGTTACTGATGCAGGCCAAAGTATTTTAAGAGCTGGATAACAAGGCATTTGATTGGTGATGAGGTTTTTATCCACATATTAAGTCTCAACATAACTCCAGCCAAAAGGTCTAAGAAGCCACACAGTGGCTGATTTTGTGTATGGTGAGAGAACCCAATGATAGGAAATCTATGGGCAGATGAGGGTTCCCACACTATGTGGCAACTAAAATTTTTTTCTAAAAAGAAGAAAAAAATCCAAAAGATGCCCTATACCTTTGCTAAAAAAACAAAAAAACAAAAAACCCTGTTCTGTTTGGTTGTCTTTAGTTTCCTATGGAATCTCTGTGGAGGGGAAAGGGTGCTGGTGGTTATCGGAGTGTAGGGAGAACAGAAGCTGTATCAATACTTGTTGATTTGATTTGATTAGCGTCACTCTGAGATACCTTGGCATTGAATTCAGCCCAACGTCAGTTTTAAATACTGCCTCTAGAGGTTTGCTGCTTAATGAGTCTTGATTCTGTTCAGCTAAGTCAGCCTCAGAATTCTTGCTGGGACTCTGGCGCTTTCTCAGACCGAGGCTGTCCTCCAGGGGAGCCCTGGGATCCCCTTCGAGTTCCTCCTAGGAGGGGCCCCAGGACTGCTCTCTGGGAAGACAGAGGGCCAAGGCAGGGCCTTCTTGGCTGTCCCACTACCTTTCCTCCTATTTACAAACAAGAATGAAAAAGACATGGGCCTCCTATGAACCCAAATGTGCCGGTCCTGGACTCCACTCAGAGTATTCAAAACCCCACCAGAGGCGTGGGGGCGTGTGGGATGCGGGACGGGGCTGCGGGCTGGGCGGGAACTTGCCCTCAGGCCAAATACAAGGGAGCGCCAGACAAGGCACGGAATGACCTTCCGAGGCGCCACAAATATGAAAGGCGCCTGACTGAGGCCACTGGACAAGAGCGGGTAAAGGCGTTTCTGCTGAAACTTTGCCAGTATCTACGTTTAATCATCTTGAAATGGAGGAAGGGGGCGCAACTTAGAGATTGCCCCTGGGCGCTGTTACTCTTGGTAAGCCTCTGAACGCCATACGTCAGGGTTTCTCCTGCTGTCTGGATCTTCAGACATTAGTTCCTCAGGAAGAGGGCGCACTTACAAAAGTATCCCCATGGCAGGAATCTTCTCCAGGAGGGCAGGAGAAAGAGTAAGCAGGCGCATCTGAAGCCACCTCAGGTCCCCACAGCGTTCATCAACCACCCAGCAGAGGGCCTGGGCTTTGGCTTACCTGGGCCCTGGACCCTCAGCCTGGAGCCCTCCTTCCCACATTCTCTGCTTGACCTTCCAGCTCCGGGGGAGGGGAAGGTCCCTCCAATTGTTTCCCACGATTTGTCTTCAATCTCGCCCAACCATATGAGATCTTTAAATACTTTAAGTCTTTTAAAAATTAACCTTTTTTCCTGAGTATACAAGCAATTTATGCTCCTGATTTTTAAAAAAAAATTGAAAACTTGAGAAAAGTAGAACAAAAAAGTTAGTGGCCCGTAATTGAAAATCCCAGTGGTCACTGTTAGTATTTTGGTGTTTTTTAAGACTGTTTAAATGAAAACGTGGACTTCACCTCAGTGCAGCCCTTCTCTCTGTACAGTTTTGTGACTGGCTTTTTCATTCAACATTCTATTCTAGTGCGTTCCCCGTCCAGCCCTCTTGTTGAGCCTTGAGCCGCTCTGCTCAGTTTCCGGTTAATGACTTCTCTTTCCTTTCCCTACTCCAGAGTAAGGTCTTTGAGAAGGGGCCGTGCCCCCATCTTGGCTTTCCTTCCGACCCCTCCCCAAGGTTGGGCCCGTGGCAGGTGCACCAGGGCCGGCACTGAAGTTGTCTTCTCCCCGCAGCCACCCCCGAGGGCCGCGTGGCCGGCGACCCCGCCTTCAGCCGCGCGCCGCGCTGCGCGCAGGTGGAGCGGGCGCAGCATTGCAGCTGCGAAGCAGGATTCCACCTGAGTGGCGCCGCCACCGAGGACAGCATCTGCCAGGGTAGGCGCAAGCCTCACCAGCGGGCATGGGGGGCGGGTACGCAAGGTGTGGGCATCCGGCCTCCATCCTGCCTGCGCGCGCACCGGGCCGGCGGCCTGGGGAGCGCAGTCTCCGATGGCCCCGCCCACTTTGTGTTTTAGGTAAGTGGTCACCTTTGATTGCTAAGCTGTAGTTCGCAGACGTTACGGGCGATCGTAAGGAAGCAAGACTGTACAGAAAGCAGCCAGAGGGTCCCAGGCTCGCCCAGAAGTCAGAACGTGGCCCGGCCTCCGCCAAGCTAGCTTGTGCTGGCAGAAGAGTCTTGACCCCCGTTATCCCCTCTCCATCCTGGCTGGAATCTCATCTGTGGGGAACGAGGAGGAGCTTGAATCACTGGGCTGGTAGACAAGGCACTGGAGCTTAGCTTTACAGACCAAAGTTCCTTCCCAAAACGACTCCTCCAGCCAGTGGCTTCAAACTTGAGAATGGGTCAGTTGGTGCTGACAGCCTCATTTTACAGCAGAAGAAATGAGACCCTCTTACGCCGTTCCAGCTACTGCCAAAGATGAGGAGCGTTAAGACGGGGCTGCTGATGGGGTGGGTGTCTGAGTCTGCAGCTCCACACTGCTCTCTCAGCTGCCAAGCCTGATTCGCTGGCCTCTCTGCAAGGTCTCCCCAGTTAGTATTCAGCCTTAGACAGCTGAACCCACCTAAGGTCTATCAGTCCTGTAACATCAGCTCCCCCTCACTTCCCCCGTCAGCCCTCTTGGTCCCTGGCTTGGGAGAAGGGGAGTCCCCCCTCCTTTCTCCCAGGTACTCTGCTGGAGAAAGGGCTCAGTAGCCGCATCTGGCACAGCCGTTTAGGCACAGCTGCCATCGCCTCTAGAAATCGAGGTGTAGCTGTCCTGCCTCACAGGTGGGTCACACCCGCTGCATGGCTCCTGGAGTTACAGCAGGCCCTTCTCTTCCCAGATGTGAATGAGTGTGAGCTCTACAGGCAGGAGGGGCGCCCCCGGCTCTGCATGCACGCCTGTGTGAACACCCCCGGCTCCTACCGCTGTGCCTGCCCCAGCGGATACCGCAGCCTGGCAGACGGGAAGAGTTGTGAGGGTGAGTGAGCCTGCAGGAGGAGCAGGCAGTGGGAAGTGGAAAGCTCCTCTGCACCCAGGTAGTCACTTGCTGCTGCCCTGACCTGCCAGGACCTCAGAATGGGGGTGGGTGGGTAGGTCAAGTTCTCAGTTTTAATCTTTTTAAAAACCACCAACAAAAAGACCTCTAAAAGATCAGGCTACAAGGTTGTCTGCATAAGTAGGAAATGAGTTGCTTACCCCTCCTGGCAAATAGTCTCTTCCAACCTTATGTGAGTAATAGTTTTCATCATCAGGTCATGACCTCCCACTCAGCAATGCCTTCAACTACGGCTGGACCCCAAGGCAGAGCAACCAGTCACTCACCTATTGGTGCAATCTGGGGGGAAACCATAAGGCTTCTTTGGCACAGTGCACCTTTCCACAGCCCTGTGTGGGCACCTGAAAGTCTCTCCCTGCTCCCCAGTGGACACTCGTGCCTCTGAAAGGGACAGCACCTTATAGGCATTTGTGCTTTGGCGTGGTCTGGCTCTACAGCACTGGCCCTGTTGGAGACCTAGCTGAGGACAAGTTGGCACAACAAGGGTGGGGAAGCACCCAGGCACTATGAGAGTAGGAAACCATCATTACCCCTGGGCTTGAGGGGTGAGGGGAGGGAAAGGTGCGGTCAGAGGAGGAGGGACTACCTGAAAGAGCTGTGGCCATGGAGGATGCAGCCACCAGCGAAACCACATCCAGGCAGGGAATAGACATTCCAGCCCTTCAGATCTCCCATTGCCAAGTCCAACTGGAAGCCAGAGAGAGGGCCCAAGAGCTGGGGAGATATAGTCCAGAGCACTTAACCCCCCAGGGAACAGAGCAGGGTCAAGAGTGGACTGGGGGAGGTTTGCAAACAGAAAACAACCGGTTGGTTGGTAGAAAGGAGAGGCTGAAGTCGCAGGACCCTCCCAGTGGTCACCATCATCACCAACAGACAAGTCCCAGAGATACTAGGCACACTAATGTTGCTGTTAGCTGTTGTTGAGTCAGCCCCTGACTCATGCTGACCCCATGCACAGTGGAACAAAAGGCTTTTTTTCCTAGTCTGTCTTAGTCTGGAAGTTCTGCTGGAACCTGTTCAGCATCATGGCAACATGCAAGCCTCGACTGACAGATGGGTGGTGGCTGTGCATGAGGTGCATTGACCAGGAGTAGAACCCAAGTCTCCCCCATGGAAAAGGATAATTCTATCACTGACCCACCAGTGCCCCCTGAGCACACTAGAGTCCCAATCGTATCACCTTCAGAACATAAAAACAACCCCTACACTGAGCATTGTTAATTGCCCACTCAGGAAAGTAAGGGGTGTTTGGAGACTCCTTCCACTAGTGGCTTTGTTGGCACTTTTATGATGACTATTAGCCTGTGGGTCTCCATGAGTCAGAATCAACTTGATGGCAGTGGGTTTGGTTTTTGGTTTATTAGCCTGTGGAGGTCTGCCATTACCCCACTTCCCCTTAGGGCAAATGCAGATATTAATACACACAGATATTAATATCCACTGTAAAAATGGCATGGAGGCAGTATCTGACCTCCTCTTACTTCACAAGGGAGAAGGAGAATCAAGATCAACAGCCCAAGGCTGATTCCTACGAGGTGGAGGTCAGACATGCCTCCTCTCTGCGACATCTTTACCAACTCTGACACTAACTGTCCATCCTATGGTGCTCTCTACTTCTCTGCTGGGTTTGATAATTCATTGCAGTGCCCACACAGAACTCACAGACAATACTCAAGATTATGGTGTTTGTTGGGGAAGTAACAGGTTACAATTCAGGTTCAGGAACATTCAAGGATACAATTTTTCCATCAGGACAGCCTCTTCTCAGCTGTGCTCCCAAGCACGCCTCTCCCTGGCCCTAGGCCTCTGCCCAAAGACACTCAGCTTTCTCTCTCCATGGGCTGGGAAGTACACCATGCCATCTCCTGCTGGTGGGTCTCTGCTGCTGGGTCTCTCCTGCCACCACTTCTCACCATCTTCAGGGTTACAGCTTGCTCTCTCTCTCGGTCTCCTGCTTCCAGGAGCTTCTCAGCACAGGGATCCTGGGTCCAAGGGACGTACTGGCTTCTGGCTGTTCTTCCTTGGTGGTGGTGGGAGTCTTCTCTTTCCCTCCTCTGGGGTGGATCATTTCAAACCCAGTGGGATGGCAAAACTGACCAATTGTTGGTGGGCCACAATTCCCCTATCACAAAGCCCCGCCAAATCACTTAAGTGGGAGTTATAAGACCATGGCTAGAAAGGCCACACAAAAATGATCCACCACGTTGCATCCACATAAAACTCAGAGTCAGAGTATGCATCTTTTACTAAAGGCAAAATGGAGTTTCCTACTGCTCAACCAAATCTAGGCCCCAAAACCTGATGCCTTTGGGGAGACAGCATGAGTTCATCTGTAGGAAGTAGGAAGGTTTTCTGGAGTAGGATTTGAATCCTAAAAAGCGTGATAATGACTGTGGAGGGGACTCAGACTGGTAGCACCTATTTGGTCCTCTCAAGCACTTCCATCACCTGTCATACCCCAGGGAAGGAGGACAGGATGCTGGGAGGGATGTTCTCCCATAGGACTCTGCAGGAGCAAGATCTGAGCAATGCCTGTTGGGGGCCTTTGGTGTGGTTCTGTCTGTGATAGAGGGAAACTCAGGATCGTCACTCTTGTTGTGTGTCCTGTATTTCAGATGTTGATGAGTGTGTGACTTCACAACACATGTGCCCCCGGGAGACTATGTGCATCAACACCGGTGGAGGCTTCCAGTGTGTCAGCCCAGAATGTCCCGAGGGCAGCGGCAATGTGAGCTACGTAAAGACATCCCCATTGTGAGTATAGCCAGGGCCGTCCATAGCTGGCTAGCCCTGAACCAAGCCTCTCTGTGGGCTGGAACGGATTCTTCCTGGAAGTTCTTAGGAGAAGGAATAGTTATTTTCTAGGAAAGATGAAAAACGGAGCTGAGAGCCTTGCTTTTCTGAGCTTCCATTCCCCTTTTGTGGTTGCATTTAGTGCACTGCTGCTCTGGTGCACTGAGAACTCAGGAAAGTACAAAGACTCCCCAGCTGACACAGAGGATGATGGGATTGTTGCCACTCCAGTGCGGCACTTTCACAGAGGGCTACTGAAGAGAAGAAAGCTGTGGGTAGTTGTCTTGGTCATCCAGTGCCGCTATAACAGAAATACCGCAAGTGGATGGTTTGTACGAAGAGAAGTTTATTTCCTCACAGTTAAAGTAGGCTAAAAGTCCAAATTCAGGGTGTCAGCCCCAAGGGAAGGCTTTTTCTCTGTGTCGGCCTTCTTCTCTTCAGTGTTCCCCTGGACTAGGAGCTTCTCTGCGCAGGAGGTCCCCAATTCTCTGCTTGCTTCCTTTTCCTTTTATCTCTTGTAAGGTAAAAGGTGGTGCAGGCCACACCCTAGGGAAACTTTCTTTACATTGGATCAGGGATATGACCTGGGTAAGGGTGGTGTTACAATCCCACCCTAATCCTCTTTAACATAAAATTACAATCACAAAATGGAAGACAACCACACAATTCTGGGAATCATAGCCCAGCCAAATTGATACACACATTTTTGGGGGGACATAATTCAAACCATGACAGTAATGTTACCTAGATAAATCCAACACCCCAGGCAGGCAGGTATATATGACACCAGTGTGGGAGAGGAGAATTTTCTTAAGCTCACATAGCTAGTAACTAGGAGACTCCCGTCAGGTTGCACATCCCATACACTTTGCCTTACATCACTCTGCTTTTCCAGTGGTACTAGAAGGTTCAACTTCTAGTAACCTGAGTATTTAAGCAGTAAGTGAATTGTGATTTTTTTTTTTAAGGTAGGAGTTGGGAGTCTAAAGGTAATAACTATGATTATCACAAATACATGCATTCTCTCCTGAAAAGGAGCTCACAAGAGCCCTAGCATTGTCTTTAGAATTCAGAGAATTGACTTCACAAGCTTAGTTATTTGAATTGCTTTTTGAATTCTAGTACTTTAGAAGCAGCAAGATGGTCCATGGGACCTGAGGAGTGGCAGTTATTAGTGAGAGTGAAGACACCGGAACTTCCCACAGGAGTCGCTCAGGGAAGGGGCAGGGGGACCTATGTATCACAGCCTTGGGGTACATCCCTGATTAACAGTCAAATGTGATATCTGACCTGAATAAAGTGTTTTCACAAGATCCCAATTTCAAATGGTTAAGGAAGACAGGGCTTCCTGCTTTAGGAATAAACACTGGTTATTTGGAAAGTTCACCAGTGTGGAGCACCACATTCCAGGCTGTTGCCAGATGACTGCTGGGTTCCCATAGTTACCGACCGAGGTCACAGCACATGTAGGAAGCATGCCTGGTCTGAATGCCAGCATCACCATTGTCATTTAATCTCCCTGGGCTTTATTTTTCTGTAAAGACTGTAGTAATAGCATAGACACATAGACACACATACACACCTATATTTTTGCATAAATCTCCACAAAGTTCCTGGAAATACCAGGGCCACATGGGTGAGAGGAGCACACAGGAACAGAAACAAGCAGCATCCCTTCCCTGGCATGTCTGATGCCACCCACACTCACCTGCTACCAGCTCTGAAGCTCTTGTGGTGAGGGGCCCTGAGGCTGGGGAAGGTCACCTGGGTGGCTCTGGGAGGGCAGGTGGGGCAGAAAAGCCAGGGCAGCAGCCCCTCCTGAGGTTCCCAAAGACTGACTCCTTCCATTTTGCTTCTCTGCTCCAGCCAGTGTGAGCGAAACCCCTGCCCAATGGACAGCAGACCCTGCCGCCATATGCCCAAGACCATCTCCTTCCATTACCTCTCTCTGCCCTCCAACCTGAAGACACCCATCACGCTCTTCCGCATGGCCACAGCCTCAGCGCCTGGCCGGCCTGGGCCCAATAGCCTGCGGTTTGGGATCGTGGGTGGAAACAGCCATGGCCACTTTGTGATGCAGCGTTCAGACCGGCAGACGGGGGAGCTGATCCTCGTCCAGACCCTGGAGGGGCCTCAGACACTGGAGGTGGACGTTGACATGTCTGAATACCTGGACCGCACCTTCCAGGCAAACCATGTGTCCAAGGTCACCATCTTTGTGTCCCCCTATGACTTCTAAGGGTGCCGTGGGAGCACTAGGGGGCTGAAGATCTGTGCTTATTTCTCTTCCCCAAAGACTCTGCTGTAGGCACTAATGACAACAGACATCTCTCCTCTCGCGGCCTTGCCCTTGCCCACCTGTTAATCGAAAAACACTGCACACTGGCCCACAGAGTGCCACAGAAAGGCAGCCACAAACCCCAAACTGCTGCCATCACATTTTTTCTCCATGAAGGCCTTTCCCTTAGATTATGCACTAACTTTCTCAAATCTTTTTCTCAGGGCATGGGCAGCTTTTCAAAATGCTGTGGGAATGGCATTGTGGGCATGGACTCATGGTGTGTTTTTGAGATGATTGTCAACCATCCTGTAAAGCATTGTTATAAACAAGCTTTGTTAAGAAATGGTTCTGGTTCTGCTGAGGATTGCACGTGTAGGTTGTAGCGTCTCCTCCCATGGCCCAGCGTGTCCATGTCTGCATTCCCCTCTGTGGCCTGCCCACCAGTCTTCTCCTCAGAGAGTTGTGTGGGGGCCTGGAGCCCCACACAGAGTTTTCCAGACCAAGGAGCCAACATTAAAGTGTAGATTCTGCATGAATCTCTTCTCTTTCGAGAAATCATCTCAAAACATAGCCTGGTGTTGTAACTGAAGAAATAAAGTCTTTTCCTCCTCCCTGCCTGTCTTAGTCATCTAGTGCTGCTATAACAGAAACACCACAAGTGGATGGCCTTAACAAAGAGAAATTTATTTCTTCACAGTAAAGTAGGCTGAAAGTCCAAATTCAGGGCATCAGCTCCAGGGGAAGTCTTTCTCTCTCTGTCAGCCTTCTCATCAATGTTCCCCCAGACTAGGAGCTTCTCTGCGCAGGGACCCCAGTCCAAAGGACATACTCTGCTCCCGGCACTGCTTTCTTGATGGTATGAGTTCCCCCTGTCTCACTGTTCACTTCTCTCTTTTATATCTCAAGAGATTGCCTCAGGACACAATCCAGTCTTGTAGATCCAGCTGTGCCTTAGTAACACAACTGCCACCCATCCTCCTTCATTAACATCATAGAGGCAGGATTTACAACATAGGAAAATCACACAATACCAGGAATCATGGCCCAGCCAAACTGATATACACATTTTTTGTGGGGACATAATTCAAACCATGACACTGCCCACCTGACCTCTTCCTGAGCATCAGACAGTGTAGTTCCTTCTAGGAGGGGATAGCTGGCTCTCTTCCTGTTTGAGTTGAATACAGGAAATAAATGAATAAGAAAGACAACATAGAGGTGAAGTTTGGGATTGTGCTACCAACAGCAATTTGGCTTGGCCAGATGGGAGATTGGGAAGGACAACATCTGTCCATAGAGAGTTTAAGGAAATACTTCAATTGTCATTGATTCTATGATCTTCTACTTCTCATGGAAGAAGCAAGGGGGGATGCCTCCAGGGGACTGAAGGAAGAGAACACTGGCTGGGGCTGGGAGTGGGGTGGGGTCCGATGGGGTTGGATGGGGAGGCAACTCAAGTTAAAAGCTTGGGGAGCTGTGAGGAAGCTTCAGTATCCAAATACATGTTAATCTACTGGTGAGATTTCATCCCATGTATTTTATTTAAAAATTCTTTGTATTGCCCTGGTATGAGATGGAGACAAAGGAAGTATGTCACCAGTTTAGTGATCAAACCCTACATTAAGATGGTTTCTAGGACACCTATTTAGTCCTGTTTAGTCAAAGAGTGAGACATGGTCAAGAGTTGTTTCTAAGAATTTTCTTCTCTTCCCATGGGCTCAGCGGTCATCTCTCCAAAAACAGAACAAACAAAACCAAACCGATTGCCATTGAGTCGATTCTGACTCATAGCAGCCCTACAGAACAAGGTAGAACTGCTCCATAGGGTTTCCAAGGCTGTAATCTTTATGGAAGCAGACTGCCACATGTTTCTTCCACAAAGCAGCTGGTGGGTTCAAATCTCCAACCTTTTGGTTAGCAGCCGAGCACTTAACCACTGTGCCACCAGGGCTCCTTAACAATAGAAAAAGGGGCTGAAAACCTGCTTTTTGGGGTTGTTACAGGACTTTATTAACACAGTTAACCACAGCCTTGTGTTTCCAAATGGTGCCGTGATGGGCCAGAAGACTGCACGCCACCCAATCCCTTGCATAGAAAACCGGTGGGAGAATCCAAGGGTCTGGCCATATTCCTTAAAGTGAGATGTCACAGCTGTGTGCTCTTACTCCCTCTTGGAGTGAGATGTGGTTAGGAGGGACAAGCCTCTTACTTCCCAGCAGGTAAGGAGTGATTTTGGTGTCTACAGAATAGGTGCCCTGCCTACACTGGTGTATGATGATAACTGTGATGCCAAACAGGCCCAGTCTAAGGCAAAAATTTGCATCAGCAAGATTGCCAGCAGCAAACCTGTTTTCCATTTATGAAATCACACCTGAACTCCAGCCCCACAGCAACAACATATGAAGGTCTGACTTTTTGGAATGCCCTCTTGTGGATTGTAGCTGGACCCTTCCTCCCTGGGTAGTATATAGTGCTCTCTAGACCCTCTCTACTCACTGTCTCCTGTGGAAACCAATTTCTTTGTCCTTTCATAGCTCCAATTTGTGCTAGGCCAGAAAAGCTAGTAGTTAATGGGTATTAATTTACACATCTTTCCATGTAATGTCATTAAATTTTATTGGGGTGGGTCTTTAAAAGCTGTCTGTTATGCACAATTGCAAACATAAAGAAGTAGAGAGAACAGAATAATGAACTCACGTTTCCATCGCTCACTTCAGCAATTATCGACACGAGGAACCTTGTTTCTTCTCTCACCCTACCTCTTGATAATTTTGAAGCATATCCCAGACATCATATTATTTCATCTGTAATATTTCAGCATGTATTTCTAAAAGAGAAGGACTTTAAAAATCATAACAACAATATTATTCACAACTAAAAATTTTACAATAATTTCTTAATACTGACTTCCGAGCAACATGGCACTTAGTCAGAAGCACCACACTGTCCCTCCACAGCAAAGATCAGAAAAACTAAATCAAACAGAGTCACACGTCAATCCTGAAACCCTAAGCATCAAATGCAGAGATAAAGAACTCAGCCAAGCACCGAATGGAATAAAAAACTGACAGAGAACAGAGAGCGATGAGAGATACATGCAGAGGTCCCCTATCAGCTACCACAGCACCGATCTGCTATCTTGGACTCCTATCGGAGATCAGCGAACAGTGGGTATGAGAAAGCAGCTTCATGGAGCTTCCAGCAGGAGACAGAACAACTGGTAACTAGCAATATATGCTTTCCCACCCCCCACCCTTCTTTACCCCCACTTAACATCCTCTGCTACCTGCAGCCACAGTCTCTTGGCCAGGAAGCACCAGCTTCACCCTGGTGTCACTTGGATTCCACCCGGCCACACTGGCTGGCTCCCTCAGTGTCTTTTGTTGGCTGCTGGTGTTGCTTTTTTCCACTTCTTTAGATTTCTTCCTTACCTCTCACCACCTCCTCCTCCTTTCTCTCAAATACCTGGCTCCATGTGTCATCTTTGCTTCTTCCTGAAAGTCTTTGAAACACTGCTCTACTGTGACCTGCCTCCTGGCCTGTGCAGCCACGCTGCTGAGACCCCCCCCCTCCCAGGGCTTTTTGGTTTGTTTGTTAGTTTGCTCTGATTTGTTCTGTTTTGATTTGTTTGTTTGCTTTCTTTTTCTTTTCTCAGCTTGGGAGCCCCTTCTAGCCAGGCAGTACCACATGGTTTGGAAGCTACTCCCTTACTCTGTGCAGATGCACAGGGACATCCCTGGGGGCATTTCTTTTTTCTTGATTTTTTTTGTTTGTTTGTTTCTTTGTTCTGTTTTCTTCTCTCTCTTATTCCCTTTTTGTCTTTCTTCATTTCCAGTCTCTTGATTTATTCATTTTTTTCTTTTATTTTCATTTTTGTTTTTCCCCATTTCTCAGTCTCATCTCTCTACTACAATAGCAAGCTCCCTTAGCACTCTTTTTTGATTGTGTGTATGTTTTTGCCTGTCGTGCCTCTCTCCTTTCTCTCATCTGTCCCATACACATCTTAGCTCCACATATCACAATCTACCGCCTCCTTCCTGCCTACCTGCACCGTGTGCTGAACATCATACTCCCAAGCAGCACAGGCATGGCCTACTGGAACCTGCCCTGCACTGATTCCTGGTCTGGCACTGTCAGCCCTGGTATATGCCACAAACAATGCATCCTAGCAACTCCGCTTCAGCTGGACTGACCTGCTGTACCATACCTGAGTGACTGACACTGCCCATTGGAGAAGGAGGTGAAAAGTATCATACCCACAGATGAGTGAACAACAAAGAATGCACAGCCTGCCTGCTCAGACATAACCAAATAAAACAAAAAAGCAGGATGAAACAAACATCTACAATCAATAAACAAGGAAAATAACTACTGAATTCCCCAAAGACAGCAGACAATAGCAAAACACTTACAAAAACAAGACAGGATGGTTCCAGTAGACATCCAAAATAAAGCACCAGATGACTTTCCAGTAGAAGAAAAGACACTAAACCTAACTGATAGGGAATTCAAATCTCTAATATTCAGAATTATCCAAGAGTTGAAGCAAAAAGAAGACAAAAATGAGTAAAAAATAGACAAATTCATAGAAAAGGCAGACAAATTCATGGAAAATACAGACAAAAAAATGGAAGAATTCAAGAAAAAAACACAGAAACAAAATGCTAAAATAAATTCACAACTAGAAATCATACAAAAACAACAATTAGAAA